CACAAGCATTCTTGCCAAGGGATTTTGAGCAGGAATGAGTTTTGAGGAGTGTTAGCACGGCAACGTGGAAACAAGGAATGATGGGCTAGCAGGTCAGGGACCTCCTTATAAAGCTAGCAGGTCAAACACAGAATAAGGAAAGAGTATTCGACTTGAGTTAATTGACTAAGGTTATATATCTGTCCTTACTTAGAACAGAAAATCAGTACAGTTGGGGACTGGCTGGCTGGACATACTGTGTTTCTGGTTAACGGGAGCATTTGCAGGCGCATAAAAGTTGCCTAAGTTTCATTTTGCCAACTTGGCACCCCAGGCACGAGTGGCTCCACCTTGGACCTAGAGACTTATTTCCACATTGGGGTACAAACATTTCCATGTGCCTAGTAAAGATGCTCTTCAAATACTGTGCTTCCTAGGATTTCAAGGAAGATGTTTTATGAGGATATACAGTCAGTGGAAAACAAGGAAACAGCATGTGTAATTTGACCAAGGAAAAGTGTATTAATTTCCTGTGTATGGCTGCTATAAGAAGTACCACAAACTGGTTGGTTAAAACAGCAGATTTACTGTCTCACAGTCTGAAATCCCAGGTGTTGGCAGCACTGGTTCCTTCTGTAAGCTCTAGGGAGAACCTGCTCCTGTCTCCTTCCTAGCTTCTGGTGGTTGCCAGAAGACCTTTTGTTTTGTAGATACATCACTCCAGTGTCCTCCAACTGCACATGGCTCTCTCCCTGTGTGTCTGTCTCTTATTGAAAGGACACCAGTCATTGGTCCTGACTGGTGTGGCTCAGTGGGCTGAGCATTGTCCTGCGTCTCTGGTTCAATTCTGGGTCAGGGCATGTGCCTGGGTTGCAGGCCAGGTCCCCCTGTTGGGGGCATATGAGAGGCAACTGATGGATATTTCTCTCCCTCTCTTCTTTCCACTTTCTCTAAAAATAATTTTTTTTAAAAAAAAAAGGACACCAGTCATTGAATTTAGGGCCCACCCTATTCCACTATGACCTCATCTTAACTTGCTTTTCTCTGCAAAGACCCTAAATAAAGGCATATTCTCAGGTATGAGGGTGAGGCTTTGGGGGACACTATCCAACACAGTACAGGGAGTTATTCCAATAGACTAACTATGACAGAAGTTACTTGTCATAGAAGTTAATTAGACGTGAATAACAAGCATTTTTGTATTATGAACTAATACCCACATTTTTTCCTAAATTTTTCTTAGTTTTTTCAATTTTTTAGTTTGTTTCCTGATTTCTAAAGCTAACTTCTAGAAAACCACTCCAGGGCTTATGAATACAGTATGGGCCTTTACCAAGAGGAAGAGTCCTGGAACAGTGATGGTAACTCAGAGCTACAAAGTCAGATATGCAAAACACACTTTTAATTCTCTTTTTAACTGGACTTAATTTCTTTTATGCCAACACTCCATTTCTATATCATGGAAGAAATTTTAATTTAGTCATTTTTATCTAAACCCAAATTCAGTTTTCATAAGTTTTAGGTTTACATTCTGTCACTTTCAGGAGCGTTTCCTTCACTCTTGTGTCCTGTGGTCCTGGGCCACCTGGTTCCCAGACGTGGTCGCACCTCCACATTGACTTGGGTAGTGATGCCCAGTTTCCTAAGAATGGGGCTGCTTGAGGACCACCGGCTCCAGCACAGCTAACTTCTGTACTCTTCACAGCTACACCTATTTAGCCGTCAGGCTTTTTGCGTTATGGGGACTTCGTGTGAGGCTACCCTAAGCCCTTCGTATCCAAGCACTCAAAGCAGCCACCTCAAACTTCTTTTTAACCTCCAGTGCTCACTTTTTCATCAAACCAGCTTGAATCAGGGAGCTCCGGTCTCCTCTCATCACACTGAATCTATCCTGTGTGTGTTCCTATTGGCACGGACCCCTGTGGCTAGTCTGTGGGGCACAGGGCCAGGGCCTCGCCTCAGGGGTGCTCGTCAATGGCGAATGCTCTGGCTTTCTCTCCTGCTCTAACCTTTCTACCCAGAGTTCCACTTAACCAGTATTGGGTGGTGGCAGGAGAAATGCATTTTCAAATCTTTCTTCTCTCACCTAAACTGTGACTTTAGAATTTTAGAATCAAAAATGTGGTGTCTTTTCATTTGTTTTGGTTCTGCTTCCCCACAGGTGATTATGACTTCACAGGCTGGGTGTGAGTGGGAGTTGAGTCACAGATTTTAAAAGAAATAGGGGTAGAGGCTACCTGCTTTTCACAGTTCTTGCTCTGTCTATTGTGGTGTGTCCTCTTGCTCCACATAAATGCCGGTTTTCTCAAGTTTCTCTCTGTACATAGAGACTCTTCCTTGGGGTAATGTCATCTACGCAACAATTGCCTCTATGCTCTAACTCCCAATTCTGTACTGTAATCCTGAATTGATTCCAATTTTTTGACAACTGTAATAAAGATTAGAGTTAGTTTTTATTTAGGAGTCTAATCTGCCCCAAGTATAGACCACTCGAGTGCTGTAATTATTTTGGATGCAGTTGTTTTTTCCTCTTATTTATTGAATTTATTGGGGTGGCATTGGTTAATAAAATTATGTAGGTTTCAAGTATGCAAGTCTGCCATTCATCATCTCGTATATTGCATTGGGTGTGCACCACCCCAAGTCAAGCCTTCTTCCAGCCCAAGTCTTCTTCCAGTTTTCTCCCTTTGTCCTCCTGTATGTCCTCCCACCCGTTTTCCCTCTGGCAATCACCATTACGTTCTATGTCCTTGAGGCTTTTTTTTTACTTAATCCCTTTACCCTTCTCACCCACCCCAACCCATCCCTTCTGACAGCTGTCAGTCTGTTCTCCGTATCCATAAATTTTATTTATTTATTTGTTTGTTTATTTTTAGAGAGGGGGGAAGGGAAGGAGAAAGAGAGGGCAAAAAACATCGATCAGTTGCCTTTCACACTCCCCCAACTGCAGACCCAACCTGCAACCCAGGCATGTGTTCTGACCTGCAACCTTTTGGTTCACAGGCCGGCACTCAATCCACTAAGCCACACTGGCCAGGGGTGTATGCATAATTTTTAAATGAAATTATCAACTACATTTTTGTCTGCTGCTCTAATTTTTTTTTTTGAAGCTCACTTTTGAAAAATAGCTGTCTGCTGTAGGTCAGGAGAAAGTTTGGTATTCCTCTCCCTCAAATAGCCCTGTCTCTCTGAACTTCACTAGAAGCTGTCCTGTCCAACAGAGTATTGATATTTCCATATGCTTTTGATAGCAGGAATATATCGATATTTCCAGTGCTTTTGATAGCAGAATCCTCCAATCAAAGCTGAGTCTTCTCCTGGCTGGCGTAGCTCAGTGGATTGAGCGCGGGCCTGCGAGCCAGAGTATCGCGGTTCGATTCCCAGTCAGGGCACATGCCTGGGTTGCAGCCCAGTTCCCGGCAGGGGAGGCATGAGAGGCAACCACACATTGATATTTCTCTCCCACTCCTTCTCCTTCCCTTCCCCTCTCTCGAAAAATAAATAAAGGAAATATTAAAAAAAAAAAAAAAAAGCTGAGTCTTCTGCTTATAAAGCAAGACTCTCCTTAGGCAAAATTAGTGTAAAGGTTAAAAGCTAATTCCTGGCACCCAGACTGCCTGAGTTCAAATTGCAGCTCTCATGAAAGGCTTGTTCTGTGACCTTGGACATCTTACGTAACTTCTGTATCTGAGTTTCTTCATCTGTAAAATGTGGATAGAATGAACTGAAAAAGTTGCGTCATGCTGAGAACTATGTCATTAGCTTATTATAATCAGTCATCTTTTGCAGTTTGATCTAGTTTAGTCATCAGTTTTGGCCTCTCACAACTGGTAATCCCTACATACTATTTTGGCAGACCAACTTTAATTTTGTTATCCTGTACATTTCTCATTCATACACACACAGAGTTTAAGCACTGATATACATTGTAATAATAATTTCCTTTAATAGCTATTGAAGCAATAAGTATGAAAAGATCCTCTGCATAGACCTAGAGTAAGGTCAGCAAGGTCAGCAAGACTGAAGGCATCAGTGGATAGTAAGAAGGAAGCTAGGAAACCACCTTGACTACCTGGAAGAAGTATTCACACACCTTTGAAGCCCCCCAACCCCCAAAAGCCCCTTCATGTCTAGCTCAGGATGTCTTTTTTTTTTTTTTTTTAATTTTGAGAGAGAAGGGAAGGGAGGGAGAAAGAGAGAATGTGGTTGCCTCTCATGCCTCACCCACTGGGGACCTGGCCTACAACCCAGGCATGTGCCCTGACTGGGAATTGAACCCTCAACCCTTTAGTTCACAGCCCAAGCTCAATCCACGGAGCTATACCAGCCAGGGTCTCAAGCAGTCTTATACACACCCAAATTCCCTCTGTCTTGGAACCTCTTGTGCATGGGGCGGGGGGGGTCTCTCAAGTATACAAAGTTTCCATACATGTGTCTTAAATTTGATTATTTTCCCTTAGTAAACTGTCTCATCTTTATTTGATTATTGGGCCATCCAGAAGAACCTTGACTGTAGAGGAAAGTTTCATCATCCCCCACATATCTCATTAGTTAAGGGGTATACATTAGCATCTGAGTTATGGGTGAATATGAAGCCTTATTAATTGTTCAGTAAAGTTAGCCGTTAATACGTATTCTGTTACTTGCCTTCCTCCATCTACTGAAAAACAACTGCCAAATTATCTAATCATATATTAAAGCTAATCAGGTTGCTTAAAAAATATTTTTCATGACTTTCCTTTGTAACTTGTGGTTATAATTTAAACAACGGGCTCAGTGAAAGGGAAGGGTCCAGATTAAATTTAAACCACTGACTTTGGAAAGTCAAAAGTGGTAAAGCCGTGCACCAGCAGCGTGGCAAGTGTTGCGGTGGGGCGGGGATGGGGGCAGGTTCCCTGATGGCCACTCAAACCAGGCGAATCTTTTGTCAACTAAGCCGCAGCTGGGACTACCCGGGCTCAGGGCGGTCAGGCTCCGCCTCGCCCTCCATTGGCTGCCCGCCTATAGCCGCCGCGGGCCGCTGCAAACCGAGGCTGCAATTGGAGGAGGCCTGACCAGACTGACTGCTTCCCCGAGCCTCCTCGTTGGGAGGTGGGTGGGGTGAAGGTTGCTGCAAACGCCTCATCAGTACTCTTGACCACTTCTCACTGTACTTGGCGACCATGGCTGTCCTGGCGACCCTTTTGCGCTGTGGCGCCCAGGGGCGCAGCCTCCTGCTTCGGATGCAGATGCAGGTGAGAGGGTCTGGGACCCGGGTGTCTGTGTGCCGTTTCCGATCTGGGCGCAGTCCGGGCTGCGGGCCAGACGGAGCCGGAGTAGCAGGCCTCAGGGGACCCCCTCCTCATGACCTACGTCCAGAAAGCTCCCCCAGTCCCCCACAACGCGCACAGCCTGGGTGCTGTTACGAAGCGCGTTTCCCTTCCTAGGATTTCTTCTGTGCTTGTAATACTCGCTTACTGGTAGGCCACTGGTAGGGGCCACGTAGTTTAGCAGGCGGAAGTACGGATTGGCTCTGGCCTTGCCTGGTTGTACCCAAGGCCCATAAAACCGTAAAAACATTTCCTTTTTTTTTTTTTTAAACATTTCCTAAAACAATGTTTTTAAATAAACATATCTGCGAGCCGGGTCAGAGTGGGGAGGAGGGCTGGGTGGAGACTCGGTTCCAGGTCTCCTGATTCTCAAGTCACCTTATATAATATGGCATAACATTTACATAGAACTGCAACCCTCCCTGTATATTTTGTCATCTCCAGAATACTTATAACACCTAAAAGAGGGTATATGTTGTGTAAATAGTTGTTATACTGTGTCATTTAGGGGATAATTACAAGGAAAAAAGGTCTGTAATTAGTACAGGTGCAGCCATTAATCATTTTAGGCTTAACTGCATGGCACACATTGACAACAGTGTGCCATTTTTGCCAATTAAAAAAATTCTAGAAAGAGGGGGAGGGAGGGAGAAAGGGAGAGAAACATCGATGTGTGGTTGTCTCTTGAGCACCCCCTGCTGGGGACCTGGCCCTCAACCCAGGCATGTGCCCTGACTGGGTGCTAAATATTTTCCATCTGCTGTTGGCTGAATCCCTAGAAGCAGAACCCCTGGATATGGAGGGCCCACTGTACTTGATAAATGAATAAAGCTTACGTTCTGAAAGTGTCCAGAGATGTGTTTCTTCTCTGGATGTTGCGTTTAGGGAATACAGGCGTGACATCCTTGGAAAAAAAGAATTTGTTTCCCGTGTATCAAAGCAAGGTAGCTCACACCACAGATTTAGGATCGAACAAAACCTACAGCAGGGGTGTCAGACTCATTTTCACCGGGGGCCACATCAGCCTCGCAGTTGCCTTCAAAGGGCTGAATGTAATTTTTGGACTGTGTAAGTGTAACTATTCCTTAACAGTTCAGCGAGGCAACAGTTTGCCGCCTGTGCCCTAAGGAGGAAGTAGAGAAAGAACATGGTTGGTGAAGTGTGAGCTTTCCCACTTCAGATGGGATGATAAACTTTGGGATTTATTTATTCCAAAGTTTATTGCAATTATTTTGGAACAGTTTGGATTTGACCCAAGTCACTGGGGTCGCTTGATATTTTTGTTTTTGTCATAAGCAGAGGCCAGGGCAGATTGATGAGGGAGGAAAACAGCAGTGTAACAATAGTTTTTCCTCCCGGATGTGAAGTAACTAGTGTGCCGGTAATAGGTGAGCATTATGAAAGAGATTGTGAAAAAATAAATGTAGAACTTGACAGATAATGGATTGAGGGTGTGGAGCCAAAGTAAGAGGAAGAGTCTGAAATTAGTTCTGGTGACTGAGATCATGGAAAAGTCAGGAGGAGGAGGTTTCCAGGAAAGATGAATTCTTAATCCGCATATTTGTTAATTTCATGCAATGACTTGGGAAGTCAAAAAATGTTGTTAGGGTAACCCACGCTTCAACCAGTGTTGACCAGGTGCACTGGGTGAACTAAGTGCTCCGTGTGGAAAATGGAGCGGGGGAAAGCCAGAGAAGAACCGTCTTACAGCTTGAGTTTACAGTTAAACGTAAGTGTTACTAATGAGAAAAATGATGCTGTGGGTCATATGCCATATGGCTTACCGTGTTCATTTTTTTAAAGTCTATTTTGTTGTTCTGGCTGGTGTGGCTCAGTGGATTGAGTGCCAGCCTGTTAACCAAAGGGTTGCTGGTTTGATTCCCAGACAGGGCACATGCTTAGGTTACAGGACAAATCCCTGGCTGAGGGTACACAGGAGCCAACCACACATCGATGTTTCCCTCCCTCTCTTTCTCCCGCCTTTCCCCTCGCTCATGAAATAAATAAATAAAATATTTTTTAAAAGTATGTTTTATTGAATATGCTATTACAGTTGTCCTAATTTTTCCCCTTTTGGCCCTCTCCACCCAGTTCCTCCCTTCCCTCCTGTGATGCACCCCGCCCCTTAGTTCATATCCATGGGTGGTGCATATGAGTTCTTAGGCTTCTCCATTGTCTATACTCTTCTTAACCTCCCCTTGTCTATTCTGTACCTACCCAATTGTGCTTCTAAATCCCCGTGCCTTCCCCCCATTTTCCCCTGTTGCCCCTCGCAGCTGATATCCCTCCAAATGATCTCCATTTCTATGATTCAGTGTCTGTTCTAGTTTGCTTAGTTTGTTTTTGTTTTTTTAGATTCAGTTGTTGATAGTTGTGAATTTGTTGTCATTTTATTGTTCATAGTTTTGATAATCTTCTTTTTCCTAAATAAGTCCCTTTAACATTTCATATAATAAGGGCTTGGTGATAATGAACTCACCAAGCACTTTATCTGCCCTTCCATTCTAAATGATAGCCTTGCTGGATAGAGCAATCTTGGATGTAGGTCCTTGCTTTTCATGACTTTGAATATTTCCTGCTAGCCCCTTCTTGCCTGCAAGATTTCTCTTGAGAAATTAACAAATGGTCTTATTGAAACTCCTTTGTAGGTAACTCTTTTCTTATCTCTTGCTGCTTTTAAGATTTTCTCTTTACCTTTAATCTTTGGCATTTTAATTATGATGTGTGTTGGTGCAGCCCTCCTTGCATTCAACTTGTTTGGGACTCTCTGAGCTTCCTGGACTTGAATGTCTATTTCCTTCCCCAGACTGGGGAAGTTTTCTTCCACTATTTTTTCAAATAAGTTCTTTAAAAAATAGTTTTAAAAAGATTTTATTTATTTTGGTTGGTACAAAACAGACAGGGAGACGTTAGGAATAGTAGAGAAGCCAAAGAACTTACATGTATGACCCATGGACATGAACTAAGGGGAGGGAATGTAGGTGGGCGGTGCGGGGCAGAGGGGAATAAAGGGGAAAATGGGACAACTGCAATAGCATAATCAAGAAAATATATTGAAAAAAGATTTTATTTATTTTTAGAGAGAGAGGAAGGGAGGGAGAAAGAGAGGGAGATAAACATTAATGTGTGGTTGCCTCTCTCATGCCCCCTCCTGGGGACCTGGCCCACAACTCAGGCATGTACCCTGACTGCAAATAGAATGACTGGCCTTTGGTTTGCAGGCCAGCACTCAGTCTGCTGAGCCATTTCAGCCAGGGCTCAAATAAGTTTTCAACTTTTTGCTCTTCCTCTTCCTTTTCTCCTCTGGCACCCCTGTGATTCTGGTGTTGGCACTTTTGGAGATGTCCCAGAGTTGCCTTAAACTCTCTTTGTTTCTTTAAATTCTTGGGGTTTTGTTTTTGGTTTTTTTTTTCATTTTGTTCTGGTTAAATGCTTATTTCTTTCTTATGTTCCAAATCATTGATTTGAATCCAGCTTTCCTTTCCTTCCCTTCACTGTTGATTGGTTTCCTGTGGATTTTTCTTTATTTCCTTTAGTAGAGCTTTCATTTCTTCCCTTATGCTTTTGCCATATTCAATGAGATATTTGAGCATTCTGACCACCAGTGTTTCGAATTCTGCGTCTGATAGGTTGGCTGTCTCTGCATTGCTTAGGTCTTTTTCTGGGGTTCTGTTCCTTTATTTGGGCCATATTTCTTTGCCTCCTCATTTTGGCAGCCTCCCTGTGTCTGTATACTAGATAGAGGTGCTTTGATTATGTTTTAGCGCATCTGTTAAGTTGTGTGGGGCAACTGTGACTCCCTTGTGGGGGAGGGGTCAAAGAAGGGACACTGCTTCTGTTGGTTGACTTCTGGGGGCTCGCCTAGCTCTCATCTCGTTTCCAGTCACTTCACCCACTTCCCGTGTATGACTGGTGCCCCTTCAGCTGCTGTGCTGGTTGTGGTTCCCAGGGTGGGTGGGTTTGCAGACATTCAACTCTCCTGAGAAACCAGCAGTTTCTTCCACTGCCCCAGACCCCGGAGGGTTTACAGCCAGAAGCTACGAGGCTCTCTGTTTTCCTAGCACTGGAGCAGTGGGCTCCATGGTCTGGCCTGGGGCTGGGCTCACTTGCTCACGAGGTGTCTTTCTGATTTTTATCCACCACACACGAATGTCAGGCTGCCCATTCCGAGGTTTGCTGCCATGTGGCTGTCCCTCTTCCTCTCCTCCTCTCTGCCCCCCGGCTCCCTGCCGCCACACCAAGTCCTCTCCACTCCAACTCCCTGTCTTCACCCCTCCTACCTGTCTGGATGAACATAGCTTCTTAAAATCCTTGGTTGTCGGACTTCCATACAGTTCCGAGTGTTTTTCTGGGTGGGTGATTTTTTTGGCAGCTTTGAGTGTTTTTTTGTTTTTAAGTTAGTTGTGTCCCCTGTCACGGTTGTACAATGAGGTAAAGCATGTCTACCTACCCCTCCACCTTGACTGGAAGCCCGTTACTGTGTTCATTTCATTGAATTGTAGGAATTCTTTGTACAGACACAGCTTGGAGATATTCCAGGTTTCTTTCCAGACTATCACAGTAAAGTGAGTTGTAATCTTTTTGTTGATGGAGGACCTTGCCTTCAATTTGTGAAAAATACATCTGTGAAGCACAATAAAGTGAGGTACAACAAAACTTAGTGGAGCTTGGTTCTTGTCATCGATGCAGGGAAGAATCACAGACGAGTGAGATGAAAGTGGATGAGTAGGAGTTTTATTAGTATGTCCTCAAGAGAGGGAACAGGCTTGCTGAGAGTGGTGAGAAGGGCGAATGGTGGAGAGTGTTCTGAATCTGCGGCCTTAAGTACACGTGTCATTGTATTAGCATAAGGGAGGGGTTCCATCGATGGATGGATACTCTGGTGATATAACTTAATCTCTTCTGTGCATATCTTTTCTCATAAT